CGGCGGCCGCGGCCGCCGCAACCGCAGCTTGCTGCTCTCTGATGTGAGGTGGTGGCCCGGGTCTGGCGGCGGCTTCGAGCACGAATATCCTTTCGTGAGCGTCCACAAGTTGGAAGCCAGTGATAAGATCCAAACAGGGGTCTGTCGCTTGCTGTGCGTCCAGCTGGCTCGTAGACAGCACCTGCTGGTTGGGGGGGGGGAGGGTCAGGCAGGAGACACAGAGCTGGTGAGGTAAGCATCAGCGCCAGAGTAGCCACGATGAGCAGTCTGCTAATCAGGGTCTTGCACAAGCAATTCCAAACGCCAGTAACCAAGGGTGCCCACAGTTGCGTGGTGTGAAGACAAGCACACATGAGGCAGGTGCACGGCTGATGGCATCTGACCACACCAAAACGACAAACACAGGTGGCGAAAACCCGAAACTTTCACGAGCCCTGTCCCCGCGCCTGCAGCAGGTGGCCGTCCAGCGCCACACCCTCGTACTGCAGCAGAGCCTCGTCCAGCCGCAGGTCCGCCTCGGTCGGCTCAACCTCGGACGCGTCGTCGCTGCCGCCCTCGGACCCCGCCTCGTCCGCGAAGCGCAGCGCCCGGGCGCCCGCGCGGCCCGCGCCGGCGGCGCCCTCGCGCGGCGCCCCGTCCCGCTGCGTGGACGCGGCCAGGGACGACCGCTGGCCGGCAGGCTGCTTGGGTGCGGTCGCCGCGTTTGCAGACGGATTTGTCCTGCCAGGGGTGGCGAGTGAGGGGCGCTGGGACACGAGCGACGAGCGCTGCGACGGGGGAGCAGCATTGCAGCTGGCCCGCGGGCCGGCCTGCGCCTGCTGCTGTGGCGGCCCCTTGGGCGACACGTCCAGGCTCGTGCGCGCGGACGCGCTCGCAGCCAACGACCCTCGCGGCCCTTGCGTAGTCGCTTGCTGCTGCTGCTGCTGCTGCTGCTGCTGCTGCTGCTGCTGCTGCTGCTGCTGCCGCAGGCCGCCGGCAGCAGGCGCGACCGCCGCTCGGCCGCTCGCAGCCGCCAGCGCCGCCGGCCTCGCATGCCCCAAAACGACGGCATTGTGTTGCCGCACGGTGTCGTTCAGAAGGTGAAACAGGTCGCTGTCCCGCCTGTCAAACACAAATACGGCGCGGCAGAAGCCCCCGCCGACTCCACCCACATGAGCGCCAGCACCGCCTCCAACGGCAGCGGCGGCGTCGCCGGCGCCGGTGCCGGCGGCGGGCGCACTTGCGCCGGGCACTGCTGCTGCGGCGTCCTGGGCCAGCTGCAGCTTCACGGCTGCGACCACTGACGGCGGCAGCGGGCCCGGCCAGCCGGGCCCCGCGGCCGCCGGCTGGCTCGCCGGCTGCTGCTGCTGCTGCTGCTGCTGCTGCTGCTGCTGCTGCCCGGCCGCCGCGCCGCCCGCCTGCGGCTGCTGCGCGGGCGCGTCTGGCGGGGCGCTGCGCTGCTGTGCCTGCGCCGTGCTGACCCTGGATGGGGGCTGCGTTGGGGCGGACATAACTGGCCGAGGGGGGGTATGCTGCGCCATGGCGCAGATCGGGACCGCCATGCGCACGCCCCCCTTGATGGCGGACCCCGCCTGTATCCGAATTGAATTCAAAATGACAGCGAGGGATCAAATGAACCACATGGATGCTACTTGGCATGACCTGCAACAGGCTGACCAGTGCAAATTACATCATCCCCTGCACCAACTACTGGAGGCGGCTGGTGCGGCTGGTGCGTTTGAGCCAGCCGCCCGCGGCAGGCACCCTCGCCCGCCCACCTCCGAATACGCCCCCGGCCGGCTGCGCCAGTCGGGGCTGGCGGCGCCGTGGATCGTGCTCTTTGGCAGCAGCGGCGCCTCAAACGCCAGCGCCGCCGCCGCGCCGCGCGACAGCTTGGCCAATGGCACTGCAGCAGCTGCATACACTGAGCCGTCGCCCTCGTCGTCCGCCTAGGGGAGTGGGTTGCAGAGCGTACACACGCAGGAGTGGGCTATTGTGCGCCGGGACAAGATCCTTGTGCTGATTCAGGCGGGCTGCTGATTTCATTTATTCAAGTGCACGGCAAAGTCAAGGCTGTCACGCGACGTGTGCTTCTCGGCACGCCCCGCCACCCCTCCCGCATGCGGCGCATTGCACACGTGTCTGGCCTCCCACCTGCTGCGCGGCGCCGTCTTCTGCGCCTGGGATGGGGAACTCCGGGGGTTCAGCCACTGCTGACCTGTCATGGACCTCCAGAAGCAGCGGGAAGTCGCGTAGAAGCTGCCTCAGCCCCGCCGCGCCGCCCGCGTCGCCCCCGATCAGCACGCACGGCCGCCCAAACACGGCCGCGCGCGTCGCCGGCGCGCCGGCGGCGCGCGGCGCCCATGGGCCGACCGCCGCCGCACGCTGCTCGCGCGGCGGCGCGCCCGGCGGCCAACACAGGCGCAGCGCAACGGGGCGGCAGCGGGCGTCCAATTGCTCTGTAGTGGCGGGCGCGTCAGGCAGGCGCTTGGCCTTGCGGGCTGAGACCACGATGGGATTGAGGCGCACCGCTAAGTCTGCTGACATCAGCGTTGCCGTCTCCCCCCCAGGCTGAGCCGCCGCCGCCGCAGCCGCCGCGTCGGGCGCCCCCGCCGCCTCGCCAGCGGGCGGCGCGCGGGGCGCGGCGCCGCGCTTGGCGGCGGCCGCCTTTGCTTCGGCCGGGTCCGGTTGGGGCGGTGGGGGTGGGGGCCGCAGCAGCTGCAGCCGGACCGTCAGCTGCGCCAGGTGCCCGCTCACAAGCCCCTCGAGCACTTGCGCCGACAGCCCCCCGGCGCCTTTGGAGCGGGCCGAGCCGTCGCCGCTGTTGTCGCCGTCGCGCGCGTCGCTGCTGTCGCCCTGTGTCCATTCAAAACGACAGCTGGAGTCCCCCACCAGGAGGCTGGAAGCATCCAGGTTGAATGCGCCCTGGATCGGCGGCGGCGCCGCTGCAGCTGCAGCTGCGGCAGCTGGACCCGCAGGTACAAGATGGGCGCGCACGGAGGCAAAAGGGGGCTGCATGAGCATGCGACGGGGGCATGGCCGCATGCCCTGTCTGCACAAGCTCTTGTGCAGACAGCTGATGCAAGATGGGCCGGACCATGCATGGCTGCATGCATGGCTGCATGCATGGCTGCATGCATGGCTGCATGCATGGCTGCATGCATGGCTGCATGCATGGCTGCATGCATGCGAAGCCAGCCGCTTCTGCAGCTTGAAGACCCTGCAGTCCTCCGCCCGTGCCCTTTCTGGTGTTCTTCCAAAGTGCATCTGTGAACCTTTTGAACCCAACTCAGACCAGATCAACCTGGAGTTCACGACCGACCTTTATCCTTCGCAGCCTGCACCGCCGACCCCGGCGCCGACTTGCGCCCTACGTCGCCGCCCGCCAGCGCCGGCGCCAGCAGAAGCCGCACCGGCAGCTGTGCATCGGCCGCAGCAAGCGCCCGCACCAGCGGCTCTGAGACCGCTAGCAGCTGCAAGGGCGCCTCCCAGGTGTACTCGTCGTGGCACCATCTGTCCGCGTTGATACAGTCATTGTTGCGAGCAGTTATCTGCTCTAAGCTCTTGCCTCATGCGCATGACGACCGGCTGCTCGTAATGGTGCAGAGCAGGGCGCCAAGCAACAGCGCCTGACCCGCGCCGCCCGCCACAGCGGTTGTGCAAGGTGTGCTCTGGCCCCAGGCCACAAGGGGCTTAGGCTCACCCGTCGCCCTCTTGCACGATCGCTCCTAAGATCGGCCCTGATGCCTGCTCTGTGCCATCCAGGCCCGCCACAAATACGCTGAGCGCCAGCGCCGGGAGCGGCGCCGCGCCCAGCTGCGCCGCGGCGGCGCTGAGCCGGTTCGCGGACGGCGGCTTCGGCGGGGCCGCGCGGGGTTGCGCCTCGGGGGAGCATGCTGTTGCTGCGGCAGGCGCCGGCTTTTCGGGCCGCCTTGGGGTCCTGGCGGTCACTGACAGCACGACTGCGATGGTGTGCGGCAGTGCAGCGGCGCCGGTAGCAGCAACCGCTGCAGAGGCTGTAGATGCAGCGGCCGCAGCTGGTGATGCTTGCGCAGGACGGCCTTGCGAAGCACTATCGTTTGACGCCGTCATTCGTGTTCGTTTATCCGATCATCGGGACATGTGCATGTTCATTTTCCGCTTGATCAAACTGTGCGCTGTGATCCGAGTCACCGCTGCCGAAAGTGAGTGGGTGCTGGAGATCTCAAATGGTTTGTTCATGCTTGCATGCCGCATCAGCCCGGGCAGTCATGTGGCCCGATCTGCAGGTGGCATTGACTGCTGCCACCCTGTTTGACCGCGCCTGCTTTGCTCGTGCGCCACCCCTGCCAACCGTGCCAATGCCCTTGCCAACGTCCGCAATGCGTTAGAAATAATTGCTCTGTGAGTGATCTGCAGACATGAACGCACTTGCACCACCACGCTGACAGCTGACTTGAGTATCAATCTGCCAGCCTGATGCAGTACAAGAGAGAGAGTCTGTAGATGTTCACAGGTCTGGAGCAACCGCGCACAATCGGCGCGCGCCGTAAGCATGTATGCAATGCAGCAGTGGCTTGCGGGACTGCGCAAAACTGATGCAATGAGACACCGTCTCTCAGACGGCCCTGGAACGCTCAGCCAGATCTTTGATTATCGGACATGGTCAGGGTCTTCATTTCGCCTGTACAGACTCTCCTGCACGACACATGACGCATTGCCGCATTGGTGACGCCGCCGCCAAAAGGTGGTGTGGCAGGCCAGCTTCGCACCTCAAAGGGGTGCATTGTGGTTGGGTTGAGCAGGAAGCACCAGCAGGCCGTGCCCAAACTGCAGTACACATTGCCACCAAATCGTACATCGCTGTGCAAATGTGGCTGTTGGCAAACCCACGAACAACCCCCACAAACCAGGTCAGTAGCCAGTCAGCAGCACTCGGCAGATCGTCTTGCAATCGCAAACCTCCGAGCATCAGCCGCCGATCGTGATCATGGGGCGGTTCTGCGTCGCCGCCAGCTCAAACATCCCCGCGTGTGCCGCGCGCTTCCGGTCGACGGCGGCGCTGATGACGAGGCGCAAGTCGTCGTCCGTCGCGCCCTCACGCATCGCGTCGCGCAGGCTGACCTCGTTGGCGCCAAACAGGCAGACCTTCAGGCTCCCGTCAGCCAGGACTCGCAGCCTGAGGGGGGCCGGCCGGGGGCGGGCAAACAGCACGCAGGTGCCATAAACAGGGATGATCAAGCCAAACAGCCTTGGACTGTAGAGAACTACATCACATCAGGGGTTGTGCTATTCACAACAGTTGCGTGGGTGTGGCGAGCCCCCACACCCCGCCCTGCTCTGCTGGCTGCCACGCCCCCGCGCGCTTGGACGCGCCACGACGCGCCGCCGAGCCCCAGCGACAGCGCTCGTGCATGCGCCCGCGCCTGTGCGCTCGCGGCCGCGCGCTCACCGGTTGCAGTCGCCGCAGAACGCGTGCGTCATGCTGGTGATGAAGCTGACGCTGCCCTTGTGGCCGGGCACCGTGAAGTTCTTGGCCACCTCGCCGGCGGGGTCTGCGCAACGGACCAGGCCCTGAGGGTACCTGTGAAGGTTTGTTCGTGGTTTGGTTGATTGTTCAGCGTGACCCGTTTGCTATTTATGTTGTTTTCTAGGTTTTCTGTCAAAGGATTCACTCCAAGATCCAGTGGGGGAGGCACGGGAGCGGTCTTGACGGCAAAGTACGAGGGCATGCCCGTCAGCAGACGAGCGCTGGTCAAGGCGGAGGCCGCACACCGCCTGCGCGCCAGGGCGGTGGCGACCCGCGCCGTGACGGATGTAAAGGGTTCTGGGGCCGCACGCGGCGGTGCGTCGTGCGCAGCTCAAGGGCGAGGCGCACCTGTCTCTGAGCGCGGCAAGCATCTCCTTGTACGTGACCATCTTCGAGTCGCTCCACACGTTGCCATCGAAAGGCATGTACTCGATAAACCTGATTGTATTGCAAATCAGAAGATGAACCTTGGGGTGACAGGTCGAGATGAGGTGGCTGCAATGCAAAAATGCCGAGTGCTTCACAGCACCGCAGGCACAACCCAACCCCAAGGCACGATTGACACAGCACCAAAACCCAGGCACGACCACACTGCCTGACACCCATGCCCCCGTCCCACCCGCCCTGCACGCAACGCGCCACCAAACAGGGCAACGCCACCCGGGGGGGAAGGGGGGGTGCATGCTGAGCGTGGGCCCGCAGCGTTGACTGGTAAAGATGCAGGGAAAGGGGCCGCCATGCTCCCTCCGCACCTGACGTTGAGGGGGGCGTCCCTCGTAAGCTCCGAAAAATCGATGATCTCGTCATCGTTGACGCCGCGCATGACCACCACGTTGACCTGCCGTCCCGCGAAATCAGGGCCGAGGTCCGAGGTTTGGGTTTGATTGGCGACAGGGGCACGGGCCTAAGCTCTGTGAGGCTGAGCCCCGGCTGTGGCCGGGCTCACCGGCGGCGCCGCTAACCTCGCGGCCGGCCCCGACGCTTCAGCTGTCTCAGGCGGCCGCGGCGCGCGCACGGCCCGCTCGCCACAGCCGCACCTTGAGCGGCGCGAACCCCAGCCGCAGCGCCTCCTCAATGCTGGCCAGCACCTTGCCGTGCCCCGCGCGCCGCGTCAGCGCCTCGAAGCGGTCGGGCCGCAGCGTGTCCAGGCTGATGTTGAGCGCGTTTAGGCCCGCCTCCTGCAGCTGCGCCGGCGGCGGGGGTTGCGTGGCGCGCATGCGAGACGCCAGCAACGCGGTGAGCGGCTGGCATTTCGGCTACGCCGACGCATGATGCACGATGGCTGCGCATGGCACGAGTCTTGCTATTTGAATCGTGTGAGAGGCGGCGGGAGAAGGGGGCGTGCCGACCCTTCTGCCAAACAGTGTGCTCCACTTCTGAATGCAGCAGCAACACGATGTGCCTACCCTCACTGCTCCCTGTGGCACCCTCCGGGCGCCAAGCAGGGCGCCATTTCATCCTCCACCCCACTCGTCAGACGCGGGCGAACCTGTGGCAGCTGCCGCTTGAGGGCGACGCCGTTGCTGGTCATGGCGAGAGTTCGCAGACCCGGCAGGGCTGAGAGGCTGCGGCAAATCTCCAGTAGGTCCTTCCGCACGGTGGGCTCGCCTGGCGACGAGAGAACGGCGCAGCATGGTTCTATTTGATCGACGTTGTTGCCGCGGCGGGTCGTTACGGGCGCAGGGCATGTTGGAGGAACGCAAGGGCTTTGTGCATTATGGCGGAGCGTGCCCGCAGCCCCTGCCGGGCTGCGATGGCAGGTGTGGCCCTTGCGGCGCCCTTTCGGCAGCGCGGCCCAGCGCACCTCCTGTCAGCCGAATCTTGTCGACCCCCGCTCCAACAAACAAGGACGCCTGCGGGCCAACAGCGGTGGCAGCGCGCGCGTGAGCAGCGGAAGTATTGGATGTCAACGGGCCGCCGGCCGCAAGGCCCACCGCCACCGCGTGCGCCGCGAGCAGCGCGCCCGCAGCCGAGGAGCTGGGGCTGCAGATTGATGGGCCAGAGGTACTGGCCCCTTGTGTGTGCCCTCTGCAGAAGCCCTTGGCATCGATCCAGGCCGCCGCTGCACAGCGGCGCCAATTCCAGCAACGGCACGGCCCCGGCCCCCACAACACGCACCAGCCGCTGCAACTCATCCGCGGATAGCAGCCGCTCCCCGGGCGTCAGCGGCGCGCCGTCAGCGGGCATGCAGTACGTGCACCGCAAGTTGCAGCGCTCAGTCAGGCTGAGTCGCAGGTACGTGTGCTTGCGGCTGTGCAGGGGGCAGGAGCCCAGGGGCGCAAGGGGGTAGGAAATTGAGGCGGTGCCGCCGGCCACCTTGTTTGAGCGGCTCATCATGCACAAACAGCATTAAGGGGGCAACAAGAGCTTGCTGGCGGGCAAAAAATGTTTATATTGTATCAATCAACAATATTTATATGATATCAAGGCAAATACAAACATGTGTCCTGCTGATGTACAGCGCAGTCATGGGGTAGGCCACTGTTGATGCACAGCCGTCGCCACTGGGGTGCCGCTACGTCTCAAATCGCACCTGAACGTGTCGGTGAGCATCTGCTCGCCGCTGACGTGCCCGCCCATGCGCCGCGCGCGCTCCACGACCTCTCGCCAGTCCGCCGCGGACGGCGCCTGCTGCTCCTGCTCCTGCCGCCCCGACCCGGGCGGCGGCGCCCTCTGCTGCTTGCTGGGCGTGCGCAGCATGGGTATAGACTGCACGTCGAGGCGCCGGCGAGTGCCCCCATGTCGCTGCTGCTGCTGCAGTTGCTGCAGCTGCTGCTGCTGCTGCTGCTGAATCCGGTGTTGCAAGCCAGACGGCCCCAGCAGCTGCTCCTGGATTCGCCGTGCGTGCACGGGGTCAAGCGCATGTGACGCACCGAGCATGGCGCCGCTGGTTGTGACGGCCGCTTGGGGCTGGGCCGCGGCGCACGAGGTCGCGGTCGACGACGACATTATGGAGCGCGTGGAGCCCTCATGAGCTACGTAGCTGGTGCTGGCACCCCCCTCGGGTGCGTGCAGGGTCCCCGCACTGCGATACAGCCAGCCATCCAGGCTGGGGAGCAGCCTGGACGCACAACGACGCATGTTGGCCTCAGTAGAATGCTACAGCAGCCACTGTACGGCTCGTGTGCTGGGCAAACGGTGAAAGTGATCTTTGGGTCTAAGAAGCTGTGAGTGCGAATGATGGTTGATATACACTAGGGCTGCTTGATAAGGTTGTGTAGTTGTCACGGACGCAATTGGCACGGGAGCACGCGCACACTGGCCTGCCCCGTGGTCTGTGCCCTTCGAAGGGCCCTTCGGTGCCCAGCTCCAACTCTCAGAGCCCAAGCTCCATTCGTGAAGGTGCTGCAAGATACGTTCTTATGCACCACTTATTATACTGGTACAAAAGCACCCGACTCCTTGCCTCATCACTCCTTGCCAGAGACAATGCAGCGTTTGACCCACTTGAAGGCCGCCGCTTGCGGTCTCGACGCATAACTGCGATGCCAGCCTGCTGCCGCCGGCATGGCGCTGTGTTGTGGCAACAGCCAGGACCACAGCAGGCTCACCTCACAGTCGTCACTCCCAGACAACCTGGTGCAAGCCCATCGCACCACTTGCAGAGGCATGCACGACACCTCACTGATCAGCAAGCAGGGTCATCCATGTGCAGACCAAGTCAAGGCAGCAGGCGCACCTGAGCAGCATTGCGTGCTCATAGGCCGCAGATCCAAAACCAAACATGGTTTGAACAACGAGAGCAAAGTGGTGCTAAAGGGTGTATGTCAAGAGAAGGCAAGGGCCAGCGAAGGACTGTCAGGGATGCACAGGCAGGCCTAAACCGCCACTGGCCAGTGGTGCGCCCAGCGCACTCAGTACGAGTCCAGAATACACCTGCATTAATGCATGTAGCATAGGTGGATTTAAGTTTGGTTACACCCAAGAGACATGCCTGGCCCTGGGCCCTGGGGCCTCTCCAAGGCACAGGCGTGCTGCAGGTTTGGCCGCCTGCGGCACCGGTAATGCGTGACCCGCGACCCCCGCCCCCCCCCCCGCTGGCGCCCCATGTTAGCAAGGGGGGAGTTCTCTTTGCTTTGCTGTGTTACAATCGTGTAGGCCAGCTAGACTCCTCCCGCCACTGTGACCAAACGGTGCAAAACAAACAACAGGGGTTATAACCAAAACTAGCCGCCCAGCGGTAACGACAACAAACTTGATACGAAAACAAGCCAAAACAAAGCTGCAGATATACAAACGATGCAATGAGGGCGCACGGCACACACCTTTTTGCTTTGCTTTGTTACAATCGTCTAGGCCAGCTAGACTCCTCCCGCCACTGTGACCAACCTGTGTGAAAAAACAACAGGGCTTTAAACACAAGCTAGCCGCCCAAGGCAGGCGGCAACACACGTAACAACATACAATCCAAGATAAAGCCGCAGATATACAAACAGAGCAATGAGGGCGCACGGCACACACCTTTTTGCTTTGCTTTGTTACAATCGTCTAGGCCAGCTAGACTCCTCCCGCCACTGTGACCAACCTGTGCGAAAAAACAACAGGGCTTTAAACACAAGCTAGCCGCCCAAGGCAGGCGGCAATACACGTAACAACATACTATCCAAGATAAAGCCGCAGATATACAAACAGAGCAATGAGGGCGCACTGCACACACCTTTTTGCTTTGCTTTGTTACAATCGTCTAGGCCAGCTAGACTCCTCCCGCCACTGTGACCAACCGGTGTGGAACAACAACAGGGCTTTAAACACAAGCTAGCCGCCCAAGGCAGGCGGCAACACACGTACCAACATACAATCCAAGACAAAGCTGCACACACCCAGGAGACATGCCTGGCCCTGGGCCCTGGGGGGTCAAATTTTTTGCTTTGCTTTGCTTTGCTCTGTTACAATCGTCTAGGCTAGCTAGACTCCTCCCGCCACTGTGACCAACCAGTGTGAAACAACAACAGGGCTTCAAACACAAGCTAGCCGCCCAAGGCA